CCTGCAACCTCAGCTTCTGCCCCCAAGAGGCTGCCTAAAGCATCTTTCCACAAAGGTGTTAGCAACACCCCACAAGACGACATTTTCTCAATATTTTTCCAAATAAAATTAAAGTTGTGCAAGATGAACTCCCAGGCATGAATCTGCATGTCCACAGAGAAAATAAGATAAAGTAAACATGACCAAAGAAGTCTGCTGTTTGTTCACAGCCTGTTGTAAACAAAACTCCTGGCCTTCCCCTCGTAGCAGGTACCAAAAATGAAAATTTAACCCTGGAGAATTTCCTCTGTGAACTCAAATTTTCTTTGAATTTTTACTTCACTACAGGGAAATCTTGCTCTAGAGAGTTTGTTTCTCAAACGAAGAGGGATGCTATTGGCCTATATGGCAAGACAAGTCTTCATTGTGCTGAGCTGTGCCTCATATCACAGGTGCCTTGCATCGGTTGTTCCACCCAGTGAGGGGAATAAAGACGCCTTCAGTGATGCAGTGGTTGGAGACCAGCTCAGCTGGGCAATGTCTTTCTGGGAGAGGAGGACACTGGTACTCCTGGTGGAATGGGAGTCCAGAAGGTAAGTTAAGTTCAGGTGCAGGAAAATTCTTATTCATGAGTTCGTGGATGGAGCTTAGAACTCATTAACTCCTGTCAAGTAGGAAGAATTCAGGCTTGGGAGTGGGACAGCCATGGACAAGTGCGCATCACCTAAGGAGCACCCGTCATACTGTGTACACTGTAGATCTGTTGATTTGTTAAAAAATTTTCCCTTTTAGGAAAGTATCTTGAGAAAAGCACCTGTTCTAATGTGAGCAATGGTGCCATGTGGACTAGAGGCAGCCCTGAAAGGGAGTTTTAAAAGCTGGGGACCTATGCTCCTATTAGGGAAGTCACATGATCACTATGCACCGTTCCCTATCTTTCAGAAGAGCATAATGCATACCAGTTATGGGACTGATAGAACAGCTAGCTGAAAAGAAGATAAAAGGAATCATACCTCTTAGAGAAAATGGGTTCATAGTATAACTTAAAGTTTGAAAAAATTAATTCTAGGGAAAGAAACATCATGGGATTAGGGCAGAAGACCCCAAATTATCTCAGTTCATGAGGCCTTAGTGCCTCAGTAATACTTTCACTGATCCCTCTAGGTCTAAAGAAATACTGAATAGTTTTGTTTATTATGTAGCAAGGTGCAATAACTTAGGTATGTCCTAAAAATCCAGTAGCTTTTTAAAAAATAATAATGCACAGAAATTGAAATAAAAATTAATTTTTACATCATTCTTAAGTAATCACACTTAACAGGTGGGTGCCAGTGTAACATGGCTCAACTTCTCAAAATTTGGGAACATGCTGAACTTTGCCACTAGCATTTCCTGTTCCACATTTCATTTTCAAGTGGTACTTCTTTGTCATCATAGTAACTTTTAAAAACCAGCTTCCCAAAGATATGTCATCATCTAAAGGAATGTAGTACACTCTAACATTGAACTATGTGAACTATCTCAAACTAGTAGTTTGTACAATGTCCAACAGATGTGAAGTTTCTGTTTCCCTCAAAATTTTTAAATGTCCATGGTGCCCACTGTGAATTTGCTGTTACCTCTCACCCCTGGAGCACCTCTGTGCAAATGTAAGACAAAGGGATTAGGACAGTGAAACCCTAGACACACTGAAATTAACTACAGTAAAGGTGTCTGGAGGACTACAATTAACTCTGGAAGTCTAGCACTCAAGAGACTGTTTATTTCTTCTTGGACACTTGAGATAATGTCTTGAAAAGCATTTTGAAAATTCTGAAGTGCTGTCACAGCAGTAATTGAAGAATTAGGGGCAAAAAAGGTGTTTGCTAGAATGTAAGATCTCAGAGGCTGAGGAGATTCGTATCTTCAGTGCCTAGAATAGTGCTTGGGATATAATTGGTCCTTAATAAATAGCTGATGAATTAATGGATAGAAGAAAATAGGACTCCCTGGCATTTTGAACTCTTGATGTTTTTAACAGAATTGTAGGGGTAACTTGAGTCTCATGCTTTTCTCTATATTCCCTTAAAGCAACCAGTGATCCTCCAAATGTAATATAACTGTAGTGTGGTTAGAGATTATACATGTAAAAGTGCTCAGTAGATGGTTAATTTTTTAGGGGAGGCAAAGTAGGGTGGTGACAAGAATGTTTTGTATTAGGGCTAATCTGGATTTTAATTGACTGGATAACTACCAAATTCCTTGGGTCTCAGTTTTTTCATATGTAATACGTGAATAAATCTTAGTATACAGGGTGGTTGTAAGGCTAAAATAAGAAAATACATGTAAGCACTTAATGCAATGCCTGGAACATAGGAAGTATAAGTGGAAGCTGTTATCCTAAGACCTAATTTTCACTTGGCTCATCTCATTCCTCTGAAGGTAAGTTTCAGAACATATGAATAGACTGCACATTAACTATACCAGGCGTATGCTACCTCAAGACCTTTGTGTTGGCTGGGAATGCTCTTCCAGTAGATAGCCACTTCCTTCCAGTGAGTCTGCTCAAGTTCACCTTCCCAATGAGGCCTACACAGAACTCCCTTTTCATAATTCTCACTCCCATCCCCTTTACCTTGCTCAGTTTCTTCCCTTAACACTTATAATCTTTTTAACATACTGCTTTCTATGTCATTTATTTTCACTCTGTCCTCCAAAAATATAACCCAGGAAGACAGGGATTTTTGTCTGTTTCATTCACCAATGCCTCAGTGTCTAGATCAGTGCCTGACACAGGGTAGGTACTCAATAAATATCTGTAAAACTGAGTTGACATGAATATATTCCCACTGAATTTTATGCTTTTTAGCTTGGACCCATTAGTTTATCAGCATGATTTTGAGAGATGATTACCTGCTTTCATCATGTGTCTTTAAGTGTTGCCTATCACCCACATTCCATGCAGTCAGCCTCTACCAGGGAAAACTCCAAGCACCCAGCCCAGTGCAATTACTGGCTATGTGAACCTTGGCAACTTACTTAGCCTCCTTGTGCCTTGGTTATATCACTTATAAATTAAGATGAAAACCATATCTACTCCATAAAAATATTGTGAAGCTTCAGTGGGTTCGTGAAGCACCTACAACAGTGTCCAGTGCACATTCAATAAATATTAGCTATTGTGATTCTATTTACAGCCAAGTCCAGGACCTTCTCCCCTTTAGTCCTGTTCTACATTTGTATTCTCTCCTGTTCCAGTATTCATCCTCTCCCACCCACCCCTTCTTTCGTCACCTACCTCTTACCCAACAGATACAAAACTGATGGGGTCTCTTCTGCTTCAACTCTCCTTTCTGTCACTTTTTTTTTTAATGCATTTGCCACTTGGCCCAAACTGCTTTTAGAAGCTCTAGGTAACTCCTTGACTAACCTGTTCCTGTACTAAAGCTTTCATGTTTTAACAATGTGATTTCTAAGGAAATATCCCCCATGGGAACAGAGTGAAAATTTCTCACAAGTTGTTTTATTCAAACTTAAACCAGAACTATTTTAATACTGTCATTTATCATCAGTAATTTATTCCATTTCATTTAAGTTTTTTAAGAAAGTATAGCCTTCTTAACATCTTGGGTTGTATTATTTTAAAGAGAAAATAATTTCAGGTCTTCTAAAACAATTTTTTTTGCCTTCAAAGTAACTTAGAAAATCACTAATATATATATGCTATCTGAACTTCATTCTGAGGCCAGAGAAGAAAATATCCTCTTCCCCAGAAGGGCTATGCTATCTTAACTCAGGCTATGAAGTCTGCCCTATGTTCTGCCACCAGTTGCAGAAAAAGCAGGCTGCTAGACAACTTGGCTAAAGGTGGGGAGGTAAAACGTCCAAATGATTAAATTTCCCGGCCTCCCAAAATAACCCCTAAGTACTCCTGCCACCTCCAAATCAGGCTCTGTGCACTTCGTCATGCTGGCAGAGTGCCACCTTTTCAGCCAAGTCCCAGGAAGCCCTGAGGAGGCATGGCTCTCTGTCTCCACAGAACAGTCCCCTCAAGAGGCTGGGGAGTCCACTGAATTAAGGGTGAATATGCAAAGTGCATTTTCTCTCTTCTTATACTCTCATCATTCTTCTCTTAAATGTGGTGTCTTTGTTCTGTCTTCTCCACCTGTGTGTCTAGGCTCCTGGAAGGCCTCAGGACAGTGTTTTTGAGAACTCACTGAGTACCACTGTCAGAATATCTTTCTCCCGCTCCCCTGGTATCCAAATACCATCCATACTATTTCTTTAAATTAACTTTTTCACTTAAATTTTTAAAAACTAGCTATTAATGAACAGCACTGCTTTAAATTTTAAACTAGTTTCAGGTGCCATAAAGAAAAGGGTCATATATAAATATAATTAGAACAAAATATAGTAATGGAATTTTAGGTGGACGTGGCCTCTCGCTGTAGGCCTTGTGCCTGAGTCCTGCTCTGTTAGGTTAAGGAATGCTGGAGAAGTGTTAAAGACATACCGGCGTCGAAGTAAGAAATGCTCCTTGAAATAGAGACTGGAAATAGGACCAAAAAGAGAAGAACTTTCTCATTTTTAAATATCATGTCTACGTATAAGTTCTAATTTTTTGTGCCCAGATTTTGACCGACTACCTTTAGTGTTTGGGGTATAGGACTCTCTCGTGTATCATACACCGTGGCAAGTGAATGGGACTTCAGATGTCATCGAGCCCAAATCTTGACCCATCTCCATTTTCCCAAAGGGACTTGGTGTTGGAGGCCCAGGACGATTTGTCCAAGGTCACACAGAGGGTGGTCTAATTTCTGTGTTCCTGAAGCGATGAGAACAAGCTATCTCGTAGCTCAGGAGGTTTCACGAAGGGTTGGTTGCCTGGCGGGCGGGAGGCCAAACCTCTCGCCTCCCCTGTGTTGATCGCGGTTGCCCTGACAGCGACGCATTGTTCCCGCCTCCGATTGGTGACGTCATCGGACCAGCGTCCAATGGGAAAGCAGCTCAGCGTCACGCACCGCCTATCCCGGCAGGCACCACCCTCGAAACCGGGAGAAGAGCGTTGAGTGCCACGGGGAGGGAGGCTCCGGTCGCGACTGCGGCGAGTTACACCGTCTTCTATCTGCATCCGCCGCCGCCGGAGAGTAAGCCAGGATGTTCGGGATGCTGAGCAGCAGCTTTGAGGATGATCCCTTCTTCTCGTGAGTGTCGGCTGCCGAGAGCCCGCCGTCGTGCAGGAATTCAGGGATCTTGAGGGGAGCTTCATTAACGGAAAAGAACGAGTTAGAACTCGAACGGGCGAGAGGAAATTCAAATGACTCCAGGAGGCGGTTTGAGGGAATAAGAGGACTTGGGGGCGTACGGTGGGAGAGGAGGATTTCGGGAGGTGAAGTGGGGAGAACTTGGGAATGAGGGAGGGAAGGGAAGGGAAGGGTTTGGGGGTCTGAGGTGGGGAAAGATCCAAACAGGCTTCCGCACCCCGACACACACAAACCCGGGTGCCGGCTGTGCTCAACCTGGCCCGACTAAGGGTGCCCCGCCTGCTTCCCCCGTCCAGTGTCTTGCCCTCGCAGCTGCTTTGCAAGATGAGGGGAACTGCCATCTCCGTGGAACTTCTGATGAGAATTATCTTTACAGGAACGTCTCCACACATGTTTCATTTCCAAATGAGGGGCAGCGAATGTTCTATGAGATGACAATTCTTTGAAAAGAGAAACGTTTTTAAAACCATTTTCTTCATAAGTTTTCATGAGAGCACAACAAAGTTGGAGGGTTTTGCTGTTACCTGGAGTGGTTGGAGGTTTCCATGCGCGCTTTTCTCTGCTTGCTTTGTTACAAAGCTAGCCTTGTTTGGAAAGAGACTCCTCTTTCTATCAAAGGTACAAATAGGGCAGGGAAGCAGAGAGAGCACTTCAGGTAAACAATTGCCAGCCCTAAACGTTTCCAAGTGAAACAGTGTAATGCCTTAGGAAGAAGGCATCCAGAAATTGTTCCATTATAATTCAGTTTTCTTTCTGTGTGTGTTTAAGTTCCTCCTTTGGAGATTATATAAAAGTAATAACAATCTAGTTCAATTCCTAAGACAGGAAGAGTGGTCATTTTTTGCCCAAGTTTGAACTGACCTGGTGTCCTAGTTTATTTTGATCTCTTAACTTCTCTGTCTATGCAACTTGGAGAACATTTTTTTTTTAAGATTAAGATGTTGGCAGTTTACTCCATAGATTTTGTTGTTTTTAAAGGAAAATATATGGGCTTAAATGTGTTAGTATTAAAACTGAACAACATAAAAGCAATAATTGAAGGGATAATTAACAGTAGAAAAGATGAAATGATTAATATAGAAAAAATAACATTTTATTCTAAGGGTTATTATAATTAAGGGGTGAATAAACTCAAGCATATTTATTATTGCTGTTTTAATTCACTTGATTAGGAGCTCTTGGGACACTTAACCATCAGTGTTATTTTAACACATTTCAAATTTTGTATTAGGCTTTGCTCTCTTAAAAGCTTCTGAGAGTAGGGACTAAATATATCCATAGATAATTTGAGCAGTTGTAGTGTTTCTTATGTAATTGTAACATTAGTACAATGGGTAACAATTAAGAATATGATGACAATTTTTGAGTTGTACTTATCCTTGATTATATCAAAAAGGGCAGTGGCCTTAACCATGAATGTATAATTAGTACCTTTTTAAAAAAGATCTAGCAAAAGTGTAATTTAAACTCTTGGGTGACTCTTTCTGAGCAAAGGCAATGAACACAAGAGTCAGGATCAGAAATAGTAACAGACCACAAATAGTAGGCATACATCAAAGAACACTCTTCGTTTATACTTAAGATGGAAAGGACCATCGTGTCAGCTACATGCCAATAGATGTCTCAGTCATCGTTCTCTGTAGCCTTCTTCAAATGCGACAGCCATATCACAAAAATCATGCTGCTGATTTCTTTGCTTTACAGTTAACTGTAGGGAGTAAACATTCTTTGGGGACATAAGGGAGAAAGAGTATGTGAGTTTACATTTATGTCAAGTAATCTGCCATTTGATCCACCGTTTTTATTTATTTATTACGTTATATAAGTCAGAGAATTCATAAAGGTGACAGACTCCTCATTAAGTCATCCACTCATCTTGAACACAGAGGGTTCCATGCTCACCATCTCTTATATAAATTCTAGCTCTACTGCTAACATTTTGTCTGGTCATTGGATTCCTGGTGGCTAGTTTAATGTCTGACCTGTAAAAAGTATTCAGTATTATTTAATGAGCATCTGGCATTCTTTACTCTTGGACTTGTAATTAATCTAGTATTTAGGTGATTGCTAAAAGTAATTATTTGCATTCAACAGATGCCATTGTTGGTGCTGGCACTTTCTAATTTGAACACTACCCTTTTCTAAATAATCCGTTATGTAGTTCAGAATATCAATTTTTTCTAAATAATCCGTTAGGTAGTTCAGAATATCAATTTAAGCACATACTACTAATTCATTCATTACTCATAAGTAGGCAGACGAAGAAAACATACTTTCTGGATATAAAATTAGAAATATTAAATAATTTGAGACCAGTAAAATACTGTGGTCAAATTGTCAAGTGCTTAAAGGATTTGATTAAAAAACAGCTAAAATACATAGTTTTGAATTCAAATGTATTCATTTCCAATGTTTATCTTTCCATAACAGCACATGTTAAATGTTTCATCAGAGAATTAAAGGGAAACTTTAAAGGTGGTATTTTTTAGTTTGGTGTTATTGTTGCTTTTTTGTTGGGGGGTGGGTGTTGGATCTTGTTTTAGAGTCAAAGTTGTTTCAGTGTTACAGTGTGCTGTCATAAATATCTATACCTAAATAAGCAAATAATACTTGTAATTTGGTTTAAAACACAAAGGCAAAAATAGCTCACACTTCCTGCCATGCAGTTTTCTCTCAAAAATACTACTTTCCCTTTCCATTTACATTTGCTGAAGAAATAAAAACTTATTTGTATGGACAGGATAATGAATTTGAGCTCAAAATTTAAGGTTTTGGCATCTACCTTATACCCTAAAAAAACATGGATTATTTAATATAAAAGTTTACATATAGCTAGTACAGTCTAGAAATTTCTAGTTTGTACAGATGTGAACTTTAAATCTTCTGAGCTGCAGAAATGAAATTCTGATTGTTAAAGTCTACAAAGAATAGCTATGTTACCACTTTTCAGCTTTTAGACATTTAAGGCTCACAAACAGGTTGGCAAATCTCTCAGCCTTATTATTTTTTTTGTATTAAGGTATCATTGATGTACAATCTTATGAAGGTTTCACATGAGCAACATTGTGGTTATAACATTCACCTCTATTATCAAGTCCCTCCCACCACCCCCATTGCAGTCACTGTCCGTTAGCATAGTAAGATGATATAGAGTCACTACTTGTCTTCTCCGTTCTCAGCCTTATTTTTAATCATAAATTATTAGCACTTCCTTAAGCCACCCAATTCTTCATATGGGCACCATATGTGTAGTGACATTTGTTGATCAAAGGACCCCTACGTGTATTCACAGGTGTTACTTTTTCCATTTTCTTGCCTGCTGCAGGAGTTAAAACTTAGGTATTTATAATCTCTATTATTAAATTTGTATTTATTTTATACTTTGAAAGTAGTTGGGGGACACTGATTTGATCTGTTCACTGAGTTGAAAGTGAATGTATTCCATGCACAAAACAGTCATTGATATTTTCTTGACTAAGTATAGTATTGTGATAGGAAATAAAACAAAATCACCTTGCATGTAAGTCTTTGTAACAATGAATGTTCAAGTTTACTTAAATATTTATTATCAGACATATAGTCTGAGGTAGAGTCTATCAAGATGACATAGTTTGGTGCTAACCAGTGTTCTGCCACATAACTTCAAATTATAATCATTTAATAAAGGTAGCTTGAGAGTACTTAGCTAAAATTTAAGGTTTTGATTTACAGGATCCTCTTTTGTGTTAAGACCCCTAATAGCTACTGTAATTTTTAGCACCTAAAAATTTGTTTTCATAAATATTTTAATATAGGTATTTCTTATAAGTGAACTTGGCAGATATCAAAATTTTATTTGATAGAAGGTACTATAAACCTAGAAAGAACTTCTAAGATAGACTATTCGTTTGGGGTGTTTTGTGCTGCATTAAGTACAAACCATTGAGTTAATCTAGAAGCACAACACAGTTATGACATAGTTGCTGGGTCAAGGAATGCTACTTGATAGCATCTAATCATATAATGCTTAGTTCTATCAATGAACATGATAAATAGCCACACAAAAGTAGGATGAAACTGGAACTGAACTTAACAAACTGTTTTTCCTCAACTCTTTTAATATAAAAGGCTCTGCCACACCACCATTTTAAGCTGTGCTTCTGAAGAGTGGGACAATAGAATTGGCTATGGAAATACAATTCATCCTTTAAGTATTCTTAGGTTTCTACTGTATGCCCAGCCCTGTGGACTGTATTATAAATGTACAGATGTCATAACCTGTGCCCTCAAGATTCTCCTATGAATATTATATGCTTGATTTCTAGTGTCAAGACTTGGATCACCTGATGTATTTTCTCTGTGGACCCATATACCTCATTAAATCTAGGGAACATTTCTTTATGATCAAAAGAGCCATTAACAGTCTGGCTAAGCTTTTGCCGCTGCTGTGTATAGTGAAAGGAAAGAATTTCCCATGATGAGTGGGACTGCCATGTCAATTATCAGAGACCCTTATGTAATAAATTAATGTAATGCTTTTTTGCTTAGAAGTACAAATATCTATGTTCTTGTACAGGTCAAATAAAATTGTGCTCTGGCTATAACATGTATATATATATTTATATATATTTAAATAAAATACATATATGTATTTTTATATATATTAAAGTATTTATTTGTATATATTATTTATATATACATATTTAGCTCTGTCTAAAGTATATATATAATTTTGGGAGAGTCTTACGAACAGGAACTTATTCTGAACTGAAACATTACCAGCCCTATGTTGAAATTATTCCCAAATGATCCAGAGTCAAGGAGTTAACATTTTTTGTGTTGGGGGAAAGGCAGCAGTTTATTTTCCCTAACTTGTGATAGGTAAATAACGTGGAGAGAAATAGTGTATTTGGTGCCAGGTGTCATTCCATTTGGCTGTGGTTTCTTTCAGCAATCCAGAA